TATCACTTCCCTTCTACGTGACTTTACCGAAAGAACCAAGAAGAAGTGTCTTATCATTATGGGGCTATTTTTAGCAGCCAATTGCTCGAAACGCGTGATGTTGATTCTAAATGTGGATGGAAAAACCGGCGGACCCAGAGAAAAATCCACGCGACCACGGAGAGAGAGACACGCAAACTCCAAATACACAGCAGCAGGCGTCAGGGTTGGGATCGAACCCACGACCTCCTGCATACCAGGCGAGGTAGTTAACATCTATCTAGCCACCGGGCTTTGGGCCTAAGCGCAGTTTCTGCGACTAAATTGTCACCCCCTTGCAATGCACAGCAGCATCAAGGTCAGATTCCAGACCTTTCGTAGACTTGTCAACGACCCTACGACACGGTCTGGATTAGAGATTCCTGATGGTGAACCTCGCAAGGACCATCGCCTATAGTAGTGTACACTACACCCGCTGTGGACAATGCTGGACAATAGGCGGGTGAGGGAGGGGGGTGGGGGGGTTCCTGTACATTTGGGTGACAAAGTCATCCCGCCTTGGTTCGGCCGTGGAGGGAGTAGGGGTTAGAAGGGGGGCGGGGGAAGCTTGGTGATGATACTGGGGGGCGAGGGGGGGTACATGACGACAGTGAATTCGTTGCCCACTGCCCGTTCCCGCATGAAACTCGCGCTGCCCTTCAATCTTTGATGGCGATGTTCGTGTTACGAGCTCGAGCAAATCAGGGGCTGCCATCCATCCCACCTTCTCCCCTCAACCCCTCCCCCCTCTCCCACCTCGGGGTGGGGGTGGGGGGGGGGGGCACGCGCGCGCGTGCACAACCCCCCCCCCCTCTGCCCCCCCCACCCTCCGCTCGTCACCGGAGCCCTCCGCGTGCACGCGCCTCGCAAACAGCCGCTTGAGGCGAGCACACGACACGCGGACAAGGCGGCAATTGTCTTGGGTGGACAATTGTCGCCTTGTCACCTTCAGGGAGATACATTTGTTAGGCCGTCACGCAGATGGGGAGGGGTGTGGGGGGGTCGCATTACGACCACGACACCTTCCCCCCACACCACCACCACCGAGCCCCCCAGCACAGCTGCCCCATCACCGACATCCATCTAGGAACTTTTTGGTTTGTCGCACCGCGAGAAGGTGCGAGCTCCTGTTGTGCGACGAGATGTGCGCTCTGCTTCGGAGACGGTTGGCGGACCTGGCAGCGGTGATGCACCGGCAGGGTTATTTATTAATCCTGGATTCAAATTAGGCGTTCGTATGGCAAGGGGCGAGTTTCTCCATCGGGCCATCGCCGTTGGCGTCCCTCCAGCGCCGTTGGCGTCCCCAGAAGTGGCGAATCCTTATCGCATTTCGTCTGCGCTTCGGGACAGATTCAGTCCGCCGCATCGCATCAAGAGACAAAGATCCCCTCCTCCCCCCCTCCCGTAGACTGTTGGTGCAAGTGCGAGCACCTCTTGAAGCCGGCCACGGGCGCACGAGGTCTGGATTAAAGGTGGCCAGTGACACACACGCTCGCATTCGTCTGCCCAGGATAGGATACTGATGTTTGCACACACACACACAAAACAACGCGAGGCAGTCGTTTAAGACTGAGCCGATCTAGGAGAGACCCTGGACAAGCTCTGGTATCACGCCCCACTCGACGTTCAAGCCCCTAGCCTTGGAATCAAACGCAGGCGGATCAGGGCTTCGTGACGCAAGTGCGCTAAGCGAAGCGCCACCGCTCACCACGGGCAAGGCGCGCGTCTGTCGTGTGTGTGTGTAGAAGAATGACATAATGAGATGACGCGATGGCGAGATGATGGACAAACATCTATTATCTCTCTGGGCGATTGTTCGATCGCAATTAAGCGACATCAAACACGAGAGTCTATTTGTCGTCGGGGCGAGAGCGCGCGGCGTGCGCGCGTTGTTTCGTTGTTTCATGTCAAAATAGAAAATCACTCTCGCGTACACACACACACTCAAATGACTCGCTCGCGACAAGACGCGTGAGTCAACGTTTGCACACAACACCGGAGGCTCGTTTAAGTGCGTACTCGTTTCGGGCTGAGTTGACCTAGGAGAGGTGCTGTCCAAGGTATACGATATCACTCGCTGCTGACGCTCGCCCCGGTCAATGGCTCATGTCGGTGCAGAGACCGACAGCTCGAATTCGACATTGAAGGCTGCGCGCTTGCGCTGGCAGTGCGAAAGTTCGCCTGCGTCTGCAAATGTGCGCGACTCCGTTGGCTCAAAGTGCACCTAGCCTGGCACAAGCGCCGCGGTGACGTCACCGCCACGCGATCGTTACGTTCGGGACGTCGTTGGCTCGTGCGGGCGGTGGCGAGCCCACAACGCGAGTCGCGTGGAGCCCACCACACGAGTCGTCCTGCCAAGGGACCTCTCTCTTGTTCCGATCAACACCAACATCAACACCAACAACAACATCAACACCAACATCAACACCAACATCAACACCTACACCAACATCAACACCAACATCAACACCAACATCAACACCAACAACAACATCAACACCAACAACAACACCAACAACAACACCACCAACAACATCAACACCAACATCAACATCAACACCAACAACAACACCAACACCAACAACAACACCAACAACAACATCAACACCAACAACAACACCAACAACAACATCAACACCAACATTAACACCAACATCAACACCAACATCAACACCAACAACAACATCAACACCAACACCAACATCAACACCAACATCAACACCAACAACAACAACACCAACAACAACACCACCAACATCAACATCAACACCAACAACAACAACACCAAACGCCTGTAGGGCACGAACATCTTTGTTGTTGTTTGTGTTGTTGGGAGCGGTGGTGCAGCAGTTAGCGCGCTGCGCTGCGAACCCAGCGACCCGAGTTCGATTCCCGCCAACACCGGGTGACGATTATCTTAACCGGTCCTGGGCCTCCCCTAGGTCGTCTCAGCCTCTGATAAGTATCTGTTTTTGGTGTGTAAACATCGCCACTGGGGAGACAAAGGCGGCCGGGCGTGGTGTTTGGCCACCCATTCCTTCGTGTGCCGTGCCGGCCTTCATGGGTGCTCGCTAACAGCACTTGCCCCAACAGTCTCTTAAGGCTATACTGGGGGATCTTTGTCTTTGTTGTTGTTGTTATTGATGTTGTTGTTGACGTCTAGCGGTTTCTTCCTCGGAGCCACGAGCCGTCGTTTTACGACTATTTCTACGCCATCTCCCCTTCCTCTCCTCTCTATAATCTTCTCTCGCGACTCCTTTTAAACCCTCTCTCTCCTTCTGTCCTCTTTCCCGGAAAATTTGTCTAACCATTGGGGTGTCCCACCCAATCCACCGTCCCCCATTCTCCGCGCCGTTGACCTTTTGCGTGACCCCCTCTACCGCCCACCGCCCCACTCAGTGGTGACGGCGTCCCCGCGTGACCTCCACACGGGCTCTTTGAGCGCTGCGCTGTTGAGGAACCCTGGCGGGCTGACTTTGACACCCAAATGGACACGTGCTCAACATGTGTCGTCCATTTGTCCACAGCGGGCGTAGTTAGTCACCATTTGAGGGACGCGATGATCATTCGCTAGATTCATCACCAGGCCTCGAATCCGGACCGTGCCTTAAGGCCGACGACATCGTCTTGGTTCTTTCGGTAAAGTCACGTAGAAGGGACGACAGTTCTACAAAAAGGTCGTGCCGGTTTTGGGATTCCTTCTGGAACCTGGCCTCGATGCTGCGAGTTGCAAGGGGCGAAAACTCGGTCGCTGCAAATGCATTAAGGCCGAAACCCCGCCGTGGATGACGCTTGGACGAGACGGCTGATTGCCCGGAGGATGATACGTTCCCAGAAGTATGTCCGTCGTTTGCAGGTCAAGTTGAGTGAGCGAGCGGTGTAGTGTAGCGGTTAGCGCGCTGCACTGCGAACCCAAAGGCACGAGTTCGATTCCCGCTCACGGCCAGCAACGCCAGTGGCGATTATCTGAACCGGTCCTGGGACTCCCCTAGGTCGACTCAGCCTCTAATGAGTACCTGGTGCGGTGTGGAAACATCGCCCGTCGGGAGACAAAGGCGGTCTGGCGTGGTGCTGGCCACCCACCGCGTCGTGTGCCGTTGTGGCCTTCATAGGTGCGCTCGCAAACAGCACTTGCCCCAACAGTCTATTCAGGCTATACGGGACGCCTTTGTCTTTGCATGTGAGTGAGTGGGTGGGTGTTGTGTTGGCGGTGCAGTGTGATTAGCGCCCACGGACAATAACGGTGACGAATATTTGATCCGGTTCTGGGTCTCCGAGCACCTGGTGCACTAAACGTCAGAGCCGGGGAGACAAAGGCGGCCGGGCGCGGTGCTGGCCACCCCCCCCCCCTCCCGTCTGTCGCGTCAGCTATCGTGGGTGCTACTCGCTAAAAGACCCGAAAGTCTGTCAAGGCTATACGGGGAGGATCTTTGTCCTCACGTCTTTATGGACGTGCGTGCATGCAGACCCGCGCCGTATCCTTAGTGCACCTGTGCGTGTGTGTGCCGTGCCGGTTGTAATATGCAGCAGCAGCACTTGCCCCCGATAGCTTATGCAGGCTCCACCGGGGGGTTGTTTATCTTGGTGCGTGTGTGCCCAGGATATATGCGGATACACGTGGACAGCCGCGTGGATATTCGGAGACGCACGCGCGGCCCTCCGCACACCTGCCCCCCCCCCTCCAGATCTCACCCCCCTCACCCCCCCCCCCCCGAACACCCCCCCCCCCCACCGACTATCACCCGCCCTGTCTCTCTCCCTGCTCCATCCTCCTCCAGGTCCTCCCGCCCGCCCCGCCCCTCCCACCTCCATCACCCACGGTCACTGCTCAACGGTGGTTGGGGGGGGGGCGCAGGTGGAAGGGAGCTGACGTTGAGGTGCGCGGTTGACAGGGGGGGAGTAGGAGAGGAGGGGTGGGGAGGTGGGGGGGGGTGCAAAAGGGGGGGGGGGCAAAGGGGGGGGGGGGATAAAGTCTCTGGTCGCAGTGCTCCGTGGTTGAGGGCTGAAAGTGTCGCACCCGTTTCTTTACAGCCGGGCCCGTGCGGGTTCTCTGATATAAATATCTGGGCGCCGCGAGTTATCTCCGGCTAATAAGTAACCGGCTGCAGCAGCAGCAGGAGATCGCCGGGTATGTGTGTGGTGGTGGTGGAGGCGACGGGGGTCATTTGACGATTGAATCGAGCGCGCTCGACTCGCGGAACGGTGGTCACCGAGTGACCTCGATTTGTCATCTCGAGCGAATTCGCGGCTCCGTTCGCGTCGCGCGCAGGGGGACAGCGGCGAGGGGCCCACGTGTGAGCCTTCGAGAGCAGTCGATACGGTACGTGCGCTTTACACACGCACGCATACACGCACACGCGTACGCAACACAAAGACAAAGAGTCCCCCCGTATAGCCTTCACAGACTGTTGGGGCAAGTGCTGTGAGCGAGAAGAAACCTATTGAGACGGGCACGACACTCGAGGGGGTGGGTAGCCGGCACCGGTGGCGATGTTTTTACACACCGCACCAGGTACTCATTTGAGGCTGAGTCGACCTAGGCGAGTCTCAGGACCGGTTCAGATTAAGATTAATCGCTACTGGTGTTGGCCGTGAGCGGGAATCGAACTTGGGTCGCCGGGTTTGTAGCGCGGCGCTCTAAACGCTGCACTGCACACATACACGACACACACACGCTGTTCAAACACACACGCGCGCGCAGTACAGAGATAACGATCCCCGTATAGCCTTGAACAGATTGCTTGGAAAAGTGCTGTTAGCGAGCACCTACGAAGGACGGCACGACCTCGTGTTCAATACACTCCTCAGCAGGTTCTCGTTTAAGGCTGAGTCGACCTAGGAGAGACCATGTGAAGCGTCGAAGGGTCGTTTATAGGTCACGTGACAGACCCAGGTGCCTTGGGTTTACGGACTAAGGTGACTAGCAGATGCACCAGCTGTGCTCCCCACTGTGCCACCTCGCTGCGTTTTATGCGCCCTGCGCTCCGCTCGTTGTTGTGAGCGTCGCTCCTCTGCCCTCCGTTGTTGTCAGAAGGGCGACTGCCTCCAACTGCCCAGCAGCGTCCATCACGAGTCTCCTCCTCCACAGAAACCAATCTTGACACTGCCGGAACCGGTCATCGGCAAGTCCGCTCAGTTCCACGTCCTCCAATACCGCATCCGCGCCATCCCTTCTCTAGCCCGCGCCGCGTCCGTTTTAGCCCCACTGGCCAAACAGAAGTCACTCATCTACTCACCCACATCCTCCCTCACCACCACCACCACCACCCCTCCACAGTCGGCCACCATGGCCGCCACGGAGCTACTCAATGTCCACTTCGGCCTCGTCACGGAGTCGGGCCGCTACCTGACGGCGGAGCCGTTCGGCTTCACGGTGAACGTGGCGGGCCAGAGCCTCAAGCGCAAGCAGGTGTGGGCCCTCCAGGAGGAGGCGGCCTGCCCGGAGGCCGCGGCCGCCGGGGCCGGAGCGGACGCGGCCCCCGTGCTGCTCAGGAGCCACCTGGGGCGCTTCCTGAGCGCCGACAAAAACGGGAAGGTGTCGGCCGACTGCGACAAACCTGGGCCCGAGTGCAGGTGCGCGGACGCTCGTGCGCGTGATGTGGGAAGGTGGGGGGGGGGCAGCGATGTGTGCAGGTGATGGGGGATGGGTGATGGGCATAGGTGATGGGGGTAGGTGATGTGTGATGGGTGATGGGCACAGGTAATGGGGATAGGTGATGGGTGATGGGCAGAGGTCATGCGGGATGGGTGATGGGCACAAGTGATGGAGTGGGTGATGTGGATAGGTGATGGGGTGGGTGATGGGTGATTGGCACAGGTGATGGCGGTAGGTGATGGGCGTGTGTGATGGAGAGAGGTAATGGGGGTGCGCGATGGGTGATGGGCACAGGTGATGGGGAAGTGTGATGGGCACAGGTGATGGGGGTGAGTGTGGGCGGTGTGGGTATGGTTCGTGGCTTCGGGCAGGGAGATGGGCCCAGGGCGATTGCAGCTGAGCTGTCACGGCATGTGACCGTCGTGATGATGATGGTGGTGATGGTGGTGATGGTGGCGGTGGCGCTGTAGCTGATGACAATGGCTCACGATGTCCCACCGTGTAGTCCGTGACTCACGCGAGCACTCGCCAGGACCCTGCTAGTGCCACACTAAGCTAGCACGGTACGCCGATACGATGCTACAGCCACGATAATCGTACGGTTCGTATCTCCTGCAACCCAGAGCGCCGCGGTGACGAGATGTTAACTACCTCGCCTGGTATGCAGGAGGTCGTGGATTAGATTCCGACCTTGACGCCTGCTGCTGTATATTTGGAGTTTGCGTGTCCCTCTCCCCCGTGGTCGCGTGGCATTTTCTCCCGGCTCTCCACGGCTTTCCCTCCACATTTAAAATCAACAACAACGACGCGCGTTTTAGAGTGTTTGGCTGCTGCTATACATTTCCACGTGATGAAGTTCGTTTACGATCATTTGCGAGAGACAGGTCGCTTCTGAAACAGAACTGTATAGCTCAGTGGGGCCTTACCTGGCTAAAAATAATAGTGAACGCTCCCCCGCCCCCACCTGCCGTGTCTCCCTACCTTGCCCCCCACAATGTGTGCTCCCCCCCCACACCCCGCCCCCCCCCAAGGTTCTTCGTGTTCCCCCAAGCCGACGGTCGATGGGCTCTGCAGTCGGAGCGCTACGGCCGCTACCTGGGGCTCGGGTGCGCCTCGGTGGCGGGGGGTCTGGCCCCGCAGACCGCCAGCGACTCGGAGCCGCTCGAGTGCTGGGCTCAGACTCTGGGCCCCAACGAGCTGTGGGCCGTGCACCTGGCCATGCACCCACAGGTGAGCGGATGGTGGCGTTCGTGGGGGCGGCTTCGATTGTCGGAAATAAATTCCAGCGCTGGTGGCGGGCGGGCGGGCGGGTGGCTCGAATCGTTGGTGGTGGTGGTGGGTGAAGGAGGAGGGGCAGGGGGAGGAGGTCATCATCATCATCAGCAGCAGCAGAAGATTCGTCAGGAAGAAACAGCAGCAGCAGCAGCAGCATTTTCATCAGTTATCGTCCATTTGTCTACCAAGCATCAGTAGCCACATCATAATGATAATAATCACCACAATGATGATGATCATCATCAGTAGCAGCATTATTGTGATCATCATCATCAGACGATTCATCATTCGGACGGGTGGCTCAAGCGGCAGAGGGAGCGGCTCGCAATCCGAAGGTTTTGAGTTCACATCCTGGTTGACACAGCACATCTTCCCCCTGGGGTGGATACAATAAGTAACCCCCCACCTTAGTGTTGGGGGTGGGTAGGGTGAAAGTCAACAGTGGGTGTATGTGGATGCACTTGACCCCCGCCACACGAATGTGGAATTTCCACAAGTGGCTCAGGGCTGTTAAATATTAAGTGAGCATCGTGGCATCCTCGCAAAGAATTACACCTCGCTGTTCGTCTAGCCATCGAACAAGGGCGATCACCGCATGGCGCCCTTTCAGATGTGCTTCTGCGACCGTCTGATATGAGGAAGGCACTGGGAACCGTGCACTTTTAGATAATCGAGATTGATAAACTTATCTCATTGGAACCGATTTGTGTGTGTTAGGTTGTCGTCCTTCCGCCGCACCTCCGATTAGCACGGTCGGCTACGTACGGTGCGAAAAAAGTTCGGTGTAACAGATACATGATGCTGGTGATGGTGGTGATGTTGATGATGCGGCCGTCTGGAACGCTCTTCATTCTGATATTAGGAAGCCACCGGAGCTGTGCACTTTTAGATCATCTAGATTGACGAACTAATTTCTTGAGAACTGCTTCTTGTGTTTTGTTTGTTGTCCTTCCTCGCACCTCCCATTAGCACGGTCGGCTACGTACGGCGCAAAAGAAGTTCAAAATACCTACATAAATCGAAAAACTAATTTCTTTAGAACAGATTTTTTGTGCTTAAATCGTTATTCTTCCCCCGCGCCTCCAATCAACACGGTTGGCTACGCACGGCGCGATAAAAGTAAAAAGAAACACCTACAAAAATCGAAAAACTCATTTCTTCAGAACATCGTCTTTCGTGTCCAAATCGTCACCGCTGTCCCGCGCGCCTCCGATGTACATGCCCTCCCCGGCAGGTGAGCATGTACTGCGTGGGCCGGAAGCGCTACGTGCGTCTCTCCACGCCGACCCCCGCGACCCCCACGACCCCCGCGACCCCCGCGGCTCGCGACGAGCTGCTGGCGGACAGCGCCATCCCCTGGGGCGTGGACTCCCTCGTGGTGCTCGAGTTCAACCCGGGGGGCGCCTACAGCCTCAAGGCGTGCGACGCGCGCCTCCTGCGCAGCGACGGAGTCCTCGTGGCCGAGGCCGAGCCGGGCACCGCGTACGTCATCGAGTTCAAGGGGGGCAGGCTAGCCTTCCGTGATCATCAGGTGTGTGTGGTGTGTGTGGTGTGTGTGTGGTATGTACACACACACGTACACACAGTGCAGCACACCGCTCTCACGAACAACACCAGTGACGATTATCTGAACCGCCCCTAGTTCGCCACGAGGGAGACAAAGGCGGCCGTGTACCGTGCCGGCCTTCAAAGGTGCCGCTCGCTTACAGCAGCACATGCCCCAACAGTCTTTCAGGCTATGCGGGGGATCTTTGTCTTTGAGTGGACAAATTCCCATCAGTGAACTCCCCCGGCAGACAAGGTTGCGTTGGCTGGGTCATGTAGCAGCTCGCATGCTTACCCACCGCATGTCCAAGCAGTTTCTGTTTGGACGGATAGAGGGGGCTGAATGGACACTAAACAGGCTGGAGAAGAGATGGAGCTGATGCGGTACAGGAGGGTGTGGAGCTGAGTGGACTTGCCAAAGACCGGTACCAGCGGTGTCAAGATCGGCCTCTGTGGAGGAGGCTCGTGAAGGACGCTGCTGGGCAGTTGGAGGCAGTCGCCCTCCAGCAACAACGGACGGCGGAGGAGCGACGCTCACAACAAGTTGGCACAGTAGGGGGCACAGGTGGTCCATCAGCCAGTCATCTCGGTCATCTCAGTCAGTCGACCCGTGGGCACTTGGGTCTGCCCCGTGACCTCCTGCCAGTGGGCGTTCGACACTTCACGTGGCCTCAATGTGCAACTAGCCTGGCACTTCGTGGTGAATTGCGGGGGTCTTGGTATTGGTGTGTGGGGTGCAGGCCACACACCCACCCCTCGTGTGCCGTTCCGGCATTTATAGGTGCTACTCGCTAACAGCACTTGCTCCTACAATATGTGAAAGTTATACGGGGGACCTTTGCCTTCGTGGGTAAATGCGAAGTTGAGAGTGTGCGTGTCACTGCAGCAATACTGATCGTGAGGTCGGTGCCAATGTCAGATCGAAGTGGGCTCACTGTGTGGGTCCATAGCTTGGGTTGAATGGCTACAGTTGCACTCCTGTGGTTTGTCTTTAATGTATCTTTATGTGTCCCAATGTACATCTATGAGTCTCGACGTATCTCAGTTTGTCTTTGTGTAGATCTACGTATAGCTCTGGCTTGCTTATCGACACATGTTCAGCAGATGAATCCATAGTGTTGGGTCGCACGACTGTGGCTCGTCTTCGGTGTATCTCTATGGGTCTCTATGTATCTCTATGGGTCTCTCTGTCTATTAAAGCTATACGGGGGATCTTTGTCTCTGTAGTTTGTGCACGACCCTTGGGGGGGGGGGGCGTCTTCCCCCCCTCCCCCATCCTCCCCCATCCATTGGGACGTTCTGCCGATTCCCTTCCACCTCTATCCTCCTCCACCCCTTCCTCCCTCGGCGTCTTTCACTTCCTCCAGGGGCCTCATCGCCCTTCCACTGCTCCCACACCGCCCCCTGTCCCCGGATCGCCCTGCCAGGGTTCAAACTCCGTTCCTGGGAGTATCCGCGTCAGCAGCAGCAGCGGGCGAGATTGACTCAAGCATCTTCATGACTTTCCAGGAATTGAATTACCATTTAATTGCTTATTTGACCATGCCCTTTAATGACGTCTATTGAAATGATGAATCTGGCGTGAGGGCGGTGGGGCGATGGGGGCAGACGCCGGGTTATGAAGAGGAGTGAATTGGATAGCGCGGGGAAGGAGGGAGGAGGGAAGGATGGGGGAGGGGGCGCTGGGGTCGGATCCCAATAATAATAAAGCATTATTATGAATGAATGTACCTCGTACATAGGTTGTAGTGGTAGTGCCTTACGCTGATAATCCACACTGAGGGCCGGCCTATATATGAAATGACCGCATAACCACGGTGGCCTGGCTTTCTTTGTAACGCGGCTGAAATCTCTTTGACTTCGTTGTTGCATATCCAAAAGACAAAGATCCCCCGTATAGCCTTCAACAGACTGCTGGGGCAAGTGCTGCTAGCGAGCACCTATGAAGGCTGGCACGGCACACGAGGGGGTGGGTGGCCAACACCACGCCCGGCCGCCTTTGTCTCTCTAGTGGCGATGTTTACACATCGCACCAGGTACTAATTTAAGGCTGAGTCGACCTAGGGGAGACTCAGATAATCGTCACTGAGTGTTGGCCGTGAGCGGGAATCGAACCCGTGTCGCTGGGTTCATAGCACAGCGCACTAACTGCTACACCGCACACATACTGACACACACAGACACACACATATACTGACACACACACAAGCACATACATACTGACACACACACTGACACACACACTGACACACACACACATACTGACACACACACACACAGACACACACTGACACACACTGACACACACACAGACACACACAGAAACACTGACACACACACACAGGCACACGCTAACCCTGACCTTGTGACCGACTCAGGGCCACTACCTGGGCGCGATGGGCCCCGCGGGGGTGCTGCGAGCGGGGAGGAAGCCGAGCACGCGGCCCGGCAAGGACGAACTCTTCATGCTCGAGGACAGCCAGCCCCAGTTCGTGCTGCTCGCGTGCAACGGGCGCATGCTCAGCGTGCGGCAGAGTGCGTGAGCCGCGAGTGTCGTCACAGTTGCAACGGCAGCGTCATCGGCGTCGTCATCAGTGTCGTCATCAGCAGCAGGAGCTTTAACAGCGACAGCATAAGCAGCAGCAGCGGCGGCGGCGGCGTCATTATCATCAGTAGCAGTATTAGCAGCATCAGCAGTTGTATTAGCAGCATTAGCATCAGTGGCATCAGCAGTAGCATTCGTAGCATTAGCAGCATTCGAAGCATTAGAAGCAATAGCAGCATGAGCAGCAGCAGTGGCGTCATCATGAGCAGCAGTAGCATTAGAAACAGCATTTGCAGCAGCAGTAGGCGCATTATCACCATAATCAGCAGCAGCATCATCATCACCACCATCATCAGCATCATCGCCACCACCAATATACTCAACCCCACCATTGTATACATGCAGAATGGTGTCTAAGTGAAATATTGAAAATGTGTGTACACGTGTAACCACGTGTTGGTTATGTATGCCAATCGACATGAGACGTTACATTTCAAAGGCGTTTTCAGATTAAATATTTTTTACCAAATAAAACAAAAAAAAATCTCCAATAGCATCATCATCATCATACCGATATGAGCAGCGGTGCTGTAGTGATTAATATATTGTGCTATGAACCCAGCGACCTGAGTTCGATTCCCGGCTATCACCCGAGACGAATACTTGAACCGGTCCTGGGTCTCCCCTTAAATGTGTTCCCAGTGCGGTGTGTAAACATCGCCGCTGGGAGAGACAAAGGCGGCCATGCGTGGTGCTGGCCACCCACCCGGCATGTGCCGTGCGGGCTTCTTCATAGCTGCTACTCACGAACAGCACTTGTCCCGACAGCTTGTCATTTGTCTTTGTGCGCGTTCCCGTGTGCGCGTGTTCCTGTGCTCGTGTGTTCTCGCGCGCGTGTGCCCGTGCGTGCGCACAGCGATGGACGTGTCCGCGAACCAAGACGAAGAGACGGACACGGAGACGTTCCAGATGGAGATCGACCGCGGGAGTTCGCGAGTCGCGTTCCGCACGTGCGGCAGCCACTACTGGGCCCTGGTCAACAACGGCAGCATCCAGGCCTCCGCCTCCGACAAGTGGGTGGGATGGGGTGGGGCAGGGACAGGTCACTGGGTCACTAGACCATTGGGTCACGTCTATTATGATGATCTTTATGATGTCATCTTCTTGGCTCTTTCGGTAAAGTCACGTAGAAGGGAAATAATCAAATACAATATTTTTTATTTTATTATGTTTTATTTTTATTATTTTATTATTTCCCTTCTACGTGACTTTACCGAAAGAACCAAGAAGATGAATCCCTGCAGTCACGAAAGCTTTAAATCGAAATCTTTATGATGATTATTATTATGATGACCACACGCTGAAAAGCCTCGTTGAGTCCATGAAGACTTTTCCAAGAGGGTCACGCATTTGGGATGTTTTTTGGCGCCACATTTTCCGTCCACCTCTCTCCCCACCAGCCTCCCTCCTCCCCGTCCTTGTTCTTCACCTTCGATACACCTCCTCAAAGGCACTTTCCTCCTCCTCCTGCTCTCGCCATCGCCTCTCTCCCCCACCTCCACCAACGATCAGAGTTCAAACTCCGTCGGCGGTCCTCTCTGAGTCGTGAGGATCTTTACGACTTTTAGGAACTATGCTCGATTGCGTTGTCTCTGAGCGGTCTGTGTCGATGTCACCACATTTTCAACCTTGAGTGGTAAGCGCTCTACATGACTAAAACATTAGATTAGATATCGGCTAAAAATGTAAATCATTACCGGGGTGGTGGGTGGTCGTTTGACCATACTTCACCACCTTGGTCAGTGTGATTTATAGGTGAAAGTGGTGGGGGGAGGGGGGGGGCATATTCAGAAATCGGCTCGGATCTCAGTCGCCACGAACGTTCACCTCGGCCTGGAATGCAACTCAGGTGGCCGAGCTAATTAATCATCGCAGTGCTCGTGATTGCCAGCAAAGGATCTACGTTCTGCCAGAATTGATCAATGATCACGGCCACTCATCTCCTTGGATGCATGCCACGGCGCGCGTAGACAATCGAGTTTCATCGATTACTCTCTGTGGCGGGGAGGGGGAAGGCTTTCATCCAGCGGTGGACTGACCATTGTTGACGACGCCGACTACGATGATGATCGCGACGTTGGTGATGATCACGAGCCGAGACGTCTTCCCCGAATGTCCCGAACGTGGCGAGTTTAAGGGGTTCACGTGAGGTCGGCCGCAGGCGATTGTAAATCGGCGCGCACGAATGGGGCGTAGTCCGGACCCTCAGATTAGATTAGCGCAGATTAAGGGGGCAAGGCCATCTGCCTGGGTGGGGGAGGTGGGGGGGCGATGGAGGCGCTCAGGCGAAACAGGGATACTGGGAAGATAAAGGCGGCCGGGCTTTGTTGCTTGCTGATAACACTTGCCCCAACAGCTTTTCCGGCTATTGGGTGCTGTGTGTGCGGTGTGTGTGGTGTGTATGTGTGTGGCGTGTGTGGTGTACGTGTGTGGTTTCTGTGTGTGTGTGGTGTATGTGTGGTTTGTGTGTGGTGTGTGTGTGCGTATGTGTGTGGTGTGTGTATGTGTGGTGTGTGGTGTGCATGTGTGTGGTGTGCATGTGTGTGTATGTGTGGTGTGTGGTTTCTGTGTGTGTGTGGTGTATGTGTGGTTTGTGTGTGGTGTGTGGTGCGTATGTGTGTGGTGTGTGTGTGGTGTGTGGTGTGCATGTGTGTGGTGTGCATGTGTGTGGTGTGTGTATGTATGGTGTGTGGTTTCTGTGTGTGTGTGGTGTATGTGTGGTTTGTGTGTGGTGTGTGGTGCGTATGTGTGTGGTGTGTGTATGTGTGGTGTGCATGTGTGTGGTGTGCATGTGTGTGGTGTGTGTATGTGTGGTTTCTGTGTGTGTGTGGTGTATGTGTGGTGTGTGTGGTGTGTATGTGCGGTGTATGTGTGGTGTGTGTGGAGCGTGTGGTGTATATGGGGTGTGTGTGTAGTGTATGTGTGGGGTGTGAGTGGCTGCGTGTGGTCCGTGTGTACTGTGTGTGTGCCGCATGTGTGTACTGTGCGTGTGCACTCCGTGTGCGTGTCACGTGGCAGAGGGGACAGCTGCTTCTTCGACATTGAGTGGCGCGGGAAGCAGATCGCGGTCAAAGCGCAGAACGGGAAGTACGTGACGACCAAGAAGAACGGTCGCCTCTCCGCCTCCAGCGACACCGTGGGTGCGTGCGTGTGTGTGTCAGTGTGCGTGTGTGTGTGAGCGTGTGCGTGTGTCAGTGTGCGTGTGTTAGTGTGACCGTGTGTGTGTGTGTGACCGTGTGTGTGTGTGGGGAGCGGTGGTGTAGCGGTTATACGCTACGAGCCCGGCGACCTGGGCCTCCCCTAGGTCGACTCAGCCTCAAATGAGTACCTGGTGCGGTGTGTAAACATCGCCTCTAGGGAGACAAAGGCGGCCGGGCGTGGTGTTGGCCACCCACCCTCTCGTGTGCCGTGCCGGCCTTTATAGGTGCTCGCTAACAGCACTTGCCCCTACGGTCTGTTAAGGCTATACGGGGGATCTTTGTCTTTGGGGGCGCAGCTGGGTGTGCGTCTTGCCGGCCGTCTCCGTCGGCCAACCCATGACACCTGGGGGGGGTCTGTCCCGTGACCTCTTGCGATCGACGCTTCTCAAAGTGCACATAGGCTGGCACGAGTACCACGTCACCGCTGCTCCGTGCCGAGCGGTGGTTGTTGTTGTGGGAGACAAAGGCGGCCGTGATAGCCAACCATCCCCGTAGCGTGCATGTTTTTTTCCGGGCACAACGATCTGTTAAGGCTGTAGGGGAGATCTTTGTCTTTGTGTGCGTCGTCTCATTCGGGAGCGAGGCAGCGGGCCGAACGAGCCAGACGTGGGCTCACTCTGAGCGACGCGGCTCCTCCTGCCCCCCCTTCCCTCCCCCCCGGCGTGGCCGTGCAGGCGAGGCGGAGCTGTTCATGCTGCGCCTGGTGAACCGCCCCATCCTCGTGCTGCGTGGCGAGCACGGCTTCATGAACGCGCACCGCGGCGACGCGCCCACGCTGCACGCCAACCGCTCCTCCTACCAGACCTTCCGCCTGCACTACCGCAACGGCGCCTACGCCATCCAGGGTGGGAGCAGCAGCGGCGGCGGCAGCAGTAGCTATCACCGCTGTTATCATCACCGCCACTATCATCATCATCATCACAACCACTATCATCACCACTATCATCATTATCACCACTATCATCATCACCATCACCACCACTATCATCATCACCACCACTATCATCATAACCACCGCTATCATCATCGCCACCACCACTATCATCATCATCATCACCAGCACCACCACTATCATCATCATCATCACCACCACTATCATCATCATCACCGCTATTATCATCACCACCAACACCACTATCATCATCAATATCATCATCACCACTATCATTACCACTATCATAATCATCACCACTATCATCATCATAATCACCACCACCGATGTCATCATCACCACCGTCACCACTATTATCATCACCACCACCACCGCTGTCATAACCATACCAACCACCACCATCGCCACGACCAGCGTGATCTTGAGGATTAATGTTCTATAAATAAGGGCCATTGCCCAAAACATAAAATAAATGTGAACACAATTCGCAACGACGCTACGAGAAATGTGCCACCGGGCTCTGGAGACTTCAAACTTTCGTGACTGCAGGAATTCATATTCTTTGTTTCTTTCGGTAAAGTCACGTAGATAGAAAAAAAATAAAAGTAAATTGAATAAAAACTACGACGTTTCGATCGCAACACAAGCGATCGTCATCAGGAGGAAGACAAATAACGTCGTAGTTTTTATTTTACGTACTTTTATTTTTTCAATCGACGTTCCTTTACCGAAGGAACAGAAGAATATGAGATCGTTATCATCTTACAGTGCATTATCCCTTCTTTGTTGCCATTAAAAACGACAGTCCCATGTAGAAAGCTATCACCACTTTTTGAAGCCCCCTGCAGCTAAACCCACCACCTCATCCCCCTGCCCCCTTCCCCCCCCCCGCCCCCCAGGTCAGAACCAGCGCTACTGGGCGCTGAGCGAGCAGGACGTGGCGGTGTGCGGGGATGAGCCCACGGACTTCTATTTGGAGTTCGTCGGCTACAGCCGCGTGGCGATCAGAGCCCCCAACGGGCGCCTCGTGCGAGGCGACCAGGCCGGGGGCGTGCGGGCTGACGCCAACTCCGTGGACGCCGATTCTCTGTGGGAGTATTGACCCCCTCCCCCCCTCGCCTCCCCCCCCCCCACCTCTATGTACACCCCCCCCCCTGCCCCCCCTCCCTCCCCCCCACCTGCTCCCCCCACCCCTACCTGCCTCCCCCCCCCACCTGCCTCCCTCCCTCCCCCCCATGCCCCCCCTACCCCACCCTCACCTGCCCCCCCTCCCACGCTCCCACCAGGCCTCTTGCATCACGGATCCCAAACTAGTTCGTGCCCGGTAAAACGTGCAACGTTGGGGCAACGCTTCCCCAACGTCGCCCAAATGTCGCCCCAACGTTGGGGCGACGTTGGCATGCGGCTGAAACCGTTGAGGCAACGTTGGCCTCACGTTCCATGTTTAACTGGGCGGGCGTTTTTGTTCTCGAACCGGTTCGCGTGAGCATTGTCCCGCGAAGACAAAGATCCCCGCTATGGCCTCAACAGACTGTTGGGGCAAGTGCTGTTAGCGAGCACCTATGAAGGCCGCCACGGCACACGAGGGGGTGGGTGGCCAGCACCACGCCCGGCCGCCTTTGTCTCCCCGAGTGGCCTATGGGAGACCCAGGACCCGGTTGAGATAATCGTCACTGGGTGTTGGCCGTGAGCGGGAATCAAACTTGGGCCACCAGGTTCTTAGCGCAGCGCGCTGACCGCTACACCACCGCTCCCCCATAGTCCCCCACACACGCTACACACATGCACGACCCTTTAGTAAATCCACTGCTGGATGAGGCCATACTTCACCACGCCGGTTCAGGTGGGAGGAATGCAGAACAGCAATGGAGTTTGCTGCTCTGCCCTCTACTGCCCACGACTTCCCCCTGTACGTGTCCAATGTTCGGCACGGGCGTGGTGAGCCCCCCCAAGCGCTAAGCAGGGTCAACCCCGCTTAGCTTATGAGGTCGGACGAGATCGGGCGACACACACGCAGCGTGCAGACAAAGATCCCCCGTGTAGCCTTTAACAGGCTGTTGGGGCAAGTGCTGTCGGACTCGTAACCCCGGTGCCGCATTCGCCTCATCACGGTGGCGACATTCACGCATCGCACGATTTGAGGCTGAGTCGACCTAGGGGGGGGAGGCCCAAGCGAAATGGAAGTTGGGCGGCCTGGCTCGCAGCGGCTGGCGCAGTGCCGCGCTGCGCCAACCGCTGCGCCACCGCTCCCTACCCCCCCCCCCCACGTCCGTGCAGTCACTCGGCGCGGCGCGGGAACTGCCGAGTCAGCGACTTCAGTTCCACGATGGAACATCGATGCGGGGGGGGGGGGTCTAGCGACATTGTTGGAAGTTCCGGATTTCCTCGAAAGGCAAAGGTCGTGGACAACTCTCGGGGGGGGGGGGGGGGGGCGCGAGACCTGCCTGCGAATGTTTACTTGTAGCTGTCGCGAAACGCGATTCGGGCATCTCTCCTCGTCAAACTGCTCAAGGGTTCGACGGCGAAACGTCTTTCCGAGCCGAGGTCCACCGACGGCTGATGGTGCGGCGTTCTAAATGTTAATCAAGAAGCACAGTCGCAATGAAACATGCGTGCTCGCGCCGGAGTGATGAAATATATATACAGTACTAAAAATGTGAACGATGTTGATGAGATACATTCAAATTATAAATCGTGTTTCAGCCAATTGTGCGTGAATGCAACCGCTCGATGGGAGGTTCCCCGGCGTCTTGTCGAATCGCGCGATTCGTTCGGCCATGCTTCACCGCGCCGGCTTCAGTGCGTGCGCTCGACTTGGGATCGAGCTCAGGGTTCATCATCGGGGACGAGCGCGTCACCTGCGATGACGACTTCTAATTGAGTTATTGTTGCAAACGATGTATCGTCAGCAAAAACAACAAAAACTTTAGCGCCTTGAACCTCAACAGCCGCACGGCGTCCGATTATCTTCCGAGCTCGGAGTTAAGCTAAGCAGGCTTAAGCCTGGGGCAGCTCGATGGATGGGTGACCGCCACGCACACGAGGCGCTATAGGCTGTACGTTGTGGGCAATTCGCAATGATTGTATTGTTGTACTGTACTGTGCACCAACGGCTATGCTCCCGCATTGACGAGCGTTCGCCAATCCGCATTGACCAGAGGGGGGAAGTATGGTTCATAATTCACCTCCCGCCTCCACCCTAATCCAACCCTCCTCATCCAGCAGTAGATCGACCAAAGCGCTACACACGTGTGTACATGGTTCCAGCTTCCGCGGATTTCTTTTGACCCCGACTACGCGGGATGATGTTTGATAATAATCGATGATTTGAAATGATCGAATCGTGTGTTGTAAGAACCAAGGTTTTGTTTTAGATTCGTCATGTGTTGTATGTCACGTGTGTACACGTGACCCCCAGGGACCGCGAGAGGCCGCAACATTCCACGCAGTGTCATAATAATCGATTAATCGACTCGCGAAAATTGATCGAATCGTCGGAGAGACTGCTGAAACGTGACGACACCACTCACGATTGTGTCACGCACGGAGGTCAAAGAGGCCACGGAATGTGTTAATGAAGGTGAAGGGGAGAATGTGGCAATGATTTTTATTAAGAACTCGACAGATTAGTCAATAACACCGTGGCCTTAATAGGGGAAAAAATATATATAATAGGCGACGTTTCGGGCAATGGTCCTTCTACATATCATATAGATGATTTTATTATTACGTTTGTTTACTCAATAAAACCTCAGTGGTGTCTCAAGACTCGTTTTCATGAGGTTTCTGATAGTTTTTTTTCACAGAAGGGAAGCGACGATTGCAATGCGTTTCCCAATGAAGCAAATTGTTTTAATCAAATAGATAAAATGTAAGTATTTTTTCAAATGCTAGCCAAATATTGGGACCTCGACGGCAGTACAGGGATGCACTTCTCTGCTCCCCATGACATCACGGGCTATATCACTCAGTGTAAAGCGGTCGGTGCGCAGAGTATTGCATGGTTAATTACACGTGGCAGCAGTATTAACCAGGGCGGCCTTGCGGATGTAAACTTACTCGACTAAACGTTGTATTTTATCAGGTAAGGTTCACTGAGCTATGTAGCGATTTTTCCACAAGCGACCTGGCCACAATTGATAAGTGAATGAAGTGGCTTATCATGTGGACATGTACAGCGGCCAGACACTCTTAAGCGCACGTTTCTAAGTGTGGAGGAGAAAAACCGGAGGTCCCGGAGAAAAAAATCTACGCGACCACGGGGAGAGAGACACGCAAACTCCAAATGTAGAGTCAGGCGTCAGGGTCGAAAGCGAACGCACGACCTCGTGCGTACCGGGCGAGGGAGTTAACATCTCGTCAACGTGACCCGCGACGCGAGCGCACGACATTTACGCGCTTCCTGAACAGCTTCCTTACAAAAAATCCGCACGAGCGCTGAAAGTATAAATCTGTACTCTCGGTTCACAGTGGAGGCCAGAAGGGATCGGGAGAGGGTGTGGGGGCGAGGTGGGTAGGGCCTTCTCCCCGAACCGGGAGACCCACATTCCCAATATTTTCATAGTCGATTCTATCGCCAGAATGGTTCCCGTCAAAATCTATTTAAAAAAAAATGTGTATTGTAACTACAAATTTCATTTCACTGGTCACTTGGTTTAATTTATTTACGAAAAACTCCCCGGTAATTTAAAACAGGGATTTATTTCATAATAATATTGGTCGCGAAAGCCTACGTATTCAAGGGGTTTATTTATGAATTGTATACATTTTTGTTTACATGTTAGTGATATTATAGCGTTAGGAAAATGCCGCTATCACCCCCACCACCCCCACCACCACCTTTATTCCGTGATCTCTCGGAGATTTTAGATTTTATTCGTGAATATCTCACCTTTACTCGTGACTATAGTGCAACTCGTGGGGGGGGGGGGGGGTGGAGGGGGGGGGGCTGATGAACGATGGTGCTGCCCACTGATGGTGGCGAGCATGTGCGATCTGTTATGATTGCGCATGAGAATTAATGATCGTGCAAATGAAACCCTCCACCCGGACTGTGTCATCGTTAACTCGTTACGCGCAGGCAGCGCGATTGCGTCTGACACTGAATATCTTGAGACGGGAGGAGTCGAGGCCGCGTCGCCCGTGGTGATGATGGTAATGATGATGATGGTAATGATGATGATGGTGGTGGTGATGATGGTAATGGTGATGATGGTGATGGCAATGGTGATGATGGTAATGATGATGATGGTGATGATGGCAATGGTGATGGTGATGATGGAAATGGTGATGATGAAGGTGATGATGATGGTGGTGGTGGTGATGATGGTAATGGTGATGATGGTGATGGCAATGGTGATGATGGTAATGATGATGATGGTGATGATGGCAATGGTGATGGTGATGATGGAAATGGTGATGATGAAGGTGATGATGATGGTGGTGATGATGATGGTGGTAATAATGATGATGATGGTAATGATGATGATGGTAATAATGATGATGAGGGTAATAATGATGATGGTGATGATGGTAATGGTGATGATGGAAATGGTGATGATGAAGGTGATGATGATGGTGGTGATGATGGTAATGATGATGATGGTAATAATGATGATAATGGCAATGGTGATAATGATGGTAATGATGATGATGGTAATAATGATGATGGTGATGATGGCAATGGTGATGGTGATGATGATGGTAATGATGGTGATGATAGTGATGATGGAAATGGTGATGATGAAGGTGATGATGATGGTGGTGGTGATGATGGTAATGGTGATGCTGATGGCAATGGTGATGATGGCAATGGTGATGATGGTAATGATAATGGTGATGGTGACGATGGTGGTGATGGTGGTGATGGTGGTGATGGTAATGATGATGGTGATGATGGTGACGACGATGATGGTGATGATGGTGATGATGGTGATGATGATGATGGTGATGATGATGGTGATGATGGTGATGTCTGCTGACGTGTTACGCGCGAGAGATGTCGTCTGCATGCCTTCGTGGTGGGTGGGGTGTAGGGGCTTTCAATCGTCACCGAAAATGTCAACAACCAAACTTTGTTATTGGGCACGGAGTCGTAATTTACGACCAAATTAAACTCTGGTTTGGCTTTATAAGGGAAGTCGCG